TACTCATATTTCAGCACAGTACAAGTTTTTATAGCGAAACTGACTAACACAAAAATTCCAAAGCAATAGTATTAATTCACCGCACCTTCTCCCTTCCTGTTGTCGAGAAAACTTTTACGAAGCGCTCTAATTGCATGGTGCTTCCGAATTGAATTTTTTCGGAAAATTGAACTCGTTTTTTGAAAACTGGCTAACTGATTTTCTCATAACCACCGAAAAGAATCCGTAGTTGCTCTCTATTCGTCCGACACATCGAAATTCCATTTGAATCGTTTTGTCAGAAAATTCTTGAATTTTTTGGATTTCTCCTTCAGTGCGCTAGTCGCTTCTTTACAGTCTGGAACATAAATTTGCATAAAGTAAGTGTAAACTTCATCAAATATCAATCTGCAAAAACAACTGATTTCTATGCAATATTCGCTGAGAATACTTGGAGCAGCAGTATCACAGGGTACCCATTTCGCTTGGAGTGGTTGAATATCTTTGCAACCAAGCAGCTGATAACTTTTTCAGTTTCTCTGGCTAACACTGCACCACCTAGTAATGGCTTGCCGGCAATCCTAACGTTCATTATGTTTCCTGAAGAGATTACTAGTTCAGTGGTTCCCCAAAAAAAAACAATTGACAAGGCTTAAGTCGGCCTAACTTCAACCTTTTACATCCTTTCTGTACATTCCTCCCTAAAAAGCAAGAGCAGTCGGTACACCAAAAGCATTCAAAAATTTCAGTACGAGAAAAATGCTTCCTGAAGCAAGCCAATGAGGAGTGGAATTTGTATTTAAACGGGTCGTTATTACTTGTAGACTTCAAATAACTAAACATGATCTGCCCTAAGCCAACGCTGGACGTGTGGCAAGGATGACAGATAACAGACGGATGAAACGAGTTGTTGGGGTGACATCTAAAAAATGTGTAAAAAAAAGTTGGATTGAGCCATCAACATGAAAAATGCGTGGGGTGGTTTGGCTGCGAAAATTAACAAGTTTGTAATCAATGGAAAAGTTGCCAGCTACACAGATGGAAATTCAGACTATTCAGAATAGTAACTGTCCAAAGTATTCCTTGAATGCCAGTATTTTTCATACTTCATAATTTAAAAAACTTTTTTAAAAAAGCGTACCGGCTATGCTGCCAAAAAGATATGCAAGAGTCGTAGTGAGAAAATTATCTCTGGAAACGATATCCACAAAGAAATCTTCTGGACATTCTTTCAACTGGAAATGCAGCACTGGAAGCAAAGCAAGATATAACTCCTGATGTTTTGTTATTGCCGTTGTACAGCTACATAGCAAATGTATTAGCCGCTTCCATTGTTCGAAACCTTCATAAACCTGCAATATTTTACATGAAAAAAAATTTTTTTTACCACTATTACATTCAATTTTTATTTACAGGCGTTCTTACTACCGTATCAACGGGCGTGATGGTGGAGGTAGCCTTTTAAAATTTCTAACCCCCAAAAGATATTTTATTTTTCTCCTCAATTTACCATACTACAAGTTTCTAATACTTCTGTTGCAATCGTCACACTGACGTGGTCCAGATGCAGCACTAAATGGGAATTTATGCGACTTGGTGGACCGAAACATCCCAATTCAGTTTTCATTTTTATTTCTGCCTTTATCTTTTAATTTTTGCAACGTCTTTCACAACCACAAAATATCTAAATTTAATTTATATGAGAAAAGTCAAAAATTCCCTGGAGATGCAGTATGGGTCAAAGCAATTAGAAAAGCTGCCGAATGGACAGTTCGAGAGAAAGACCATGAATTAAGGCAGATGCAATTATTCCAACTATGGATCAAAAAATGCAAAAGCAAGAAAAACGTTCAATTAGAATTCTTTTTTTAAAAAAAAGTGCAACTAACAAAGGAAAATGGGTTTAAAAAAAATCGGTGTTACTGCACTGGAAGAAGGAAATCATTTTCGATTAGCGAAATGACCAAAAAAATCCCTACCCAACCCAATCCGATATTCTTAAAATAAATCCAGATGTACCTAGCACAAAAAAATAACGAAGAAAAAGTACCTGTCCCATCAGGAAACATACGAAGGCAAACTGTAATTCACCAAGAACCTCGGACCACTGT